ATATGAATAAGGTAGATCATTAACATAATCCTAAGCATTTGATAACCTCCGATGAATCTAATGGGCAACGTAAATTCGAATCTAAATCAGATTGTAAACATTCATTGATAGTATTCAAAGCTCGATTGATGGGTACATTAGTGAATAAGGAAGATACATCAAAACTTGCGATTATTTTATTCCCTTCTATATCGATGGTATCAAGCATGTTCATGAATTCCATAGAGTTTTTAATTCCATGATTAATCAGTTTTTATATAGTTTGAGTAACTTAGCTAAATATTTGGCTAGACTGTAAGTCGGTGAATTTGTAAAATCTACCACTGGTCTTAGTGGAGTATTACTCTTGTGAATCTTTGGTAGTCCATAAAATCTGCATGGGTTACAACTCTTTGGATATAACTTAAACCATAAGGACGATCCTAGCTTAGTCTTTAATGACTGTAAGAGCCTGCTGGTTTCCGCTTTGAGTTTATTAAGAGTTGTTCTACATTTCGCTTCTTTAATTTGTTCATATAGTCCCTCTTGTAGATGTTCCTTGTCTTTTTTCTGTCAAACTATTCGTTCGAATCTTGACGAATATTCGTATAAATTTATTCTAATAAGTTTTTTTAAAACTAAAATCTCAGGTCAACCCCTTTACAAGCAATAGTCTTTGATGAAAGAAACTATGATGACTTTTATTATCCAAAATCATGATGATATAATACTCTTAGCATACATGTAAAAATGCCTTATGAGCCCAAACAGTACTCAAAGAAATATATTTACCCATTCAGTGTTTAAAGAAAGTTCTCGGGAAATTCTAAAGGCCTACTTGATTGATCCAGTAAAAATAAGTCGTAAATCTTATCAGCTGCTACAGACGTTCCCAGAAGACCAAGGTCATCGGTAACTGTATGAACACCCCATGTTTTCTCCAATTAAACTAACTTTGAAAGCACAATATCTTTTATAATTTCACTTTCTGGTGTTCGCTAGGGCTTCGAATATCAGAGTTTATGGAAGTCTAGGAACTGATCAGGAAATAGCTATCTCATACATTGTGTCAATAAAACAGAGTTAGATATTTATTAATTTGTATTGATTATTTGAATCATTTCATTGATTTTCAGGATTAAAATTGATAAGTCCTTTTTAGCATATGTGGGTCTTATGAGGATAACCTTGATATTCCCGTTAATTCAGAAGCTTTTTAAGTAGAGACGTGTGGCCAGCAATGAAAATCAGGACGCGCGTTTCTTCTGACCTGGAACTTGTCAGTACCAGCATCTCAAAGTTAATGTTCACTCCGGGATTAAAACCCAACACTGTTCACTGCAAACGCCATCGTGTTATCCACTGAGCTACTGAGTTCAGATAACCACTAGCTTGTGCAATGAGAATTTTAATTCATTTGTTCTCGTTGTTAAATATTTATGACCATTTTGATAATAAATTATAAATACCAAGACTCATTATTATTTATCTGAATAATTATCAGGTTTCAATTCAGTAACTTTTTGTCTAATACAATGAGACACTTTTATATCAAGAACAAGTGAAATATACGAGATTTTAAAAGTTTTGAATAGTCTTATCTAAGAATCAGAAAGTATATTTTTACCATTAAATTTTACATTTAAACATTAAAGACAAATAATATCTAAATGATTTAGGTTATATATTCCCTATACAATCAAAGAAAAGTACTCAACTTACTCTATTTCCATTTAATCATCCTTATATAATGTATATACATTTTGTTGCATGTACTTCTGATACTAAAAAGCTAGACAATCATTCATCCTAAATGTCACTGTAAAGCCATCCAGTATTAGTGTGAAGCTCCTCAACAGTGCACATACACAACAAGTGTAGGGTCTGAATTCAGGTTATTCATGCTTTGCAGAATGTGATTAATCTTCATACCAACGAGTTATCATTCACTGGTTGTCAGCTCACTCCATTAGCTCACTACTGTGTTCGTCATGTGATAGACTGATTACGTGCGTTCCTACATTACTAAATCTCTAATAAGAATAATGGGAGACAGAAGGGTGGTCATGAATTCCTTTTACATCTTGGAACACAATCCACCTGATCATAAAAGTATAATACAAGAAAATAACATAAATTACATATCTTACATAGATAAAGTTGGGTAAAAAAGATGCAGTGTTAACTAATTGAATTTTAAGAAGGACATAAGATACAGCAACAATTTACAAGTCAAGAGGTAACTAGAACTATATAACTGTATAAATAGAACTGCGTAGAAACACTGTAAACTAACCCATTAAAGAAAAAATATAATTCACTCAAAAACAGTTAACCATGTTTATATTACTCTACTTATTACTGTTTCCTAACAATCATTATTGACAGAAAAGTTAACTAATATTCACTTAAAAATTAATATTTTCTTATAAAGCAACTAATTATTCCGCTTTTAAAGACAAAACTATTGATTTATTCTATAGAAAAATGTGCACTTCAATTATCTGAATTTATTTTGGTAAATTATTTTGAATGAGAAAATAAACGTGATGTAGAGTGTGATATTTACGGAGTTCAATGGTTGCATTTTTTTGGGATCTATTACCAGAAACTATGAATCAGAATAACAATATTAAACTTAATATGGCTTAATACATCTTTGTAATAATTTAAATTATTTTGCTATAATTCAATTTAATTATTCATTTCAATATTGATCATTCTATTTTAAACTTTACACACGTTAGTTATTAAATAAATATATCAATAAATGAGACAGTGTAAAAATTTACTAAGGACTGGTTGATTAGTGAAAATCAATAGAACGTAAATTCATTTAGTATGAAGTATCTATAAAAGCCTCAGAAAACTCTTTTTTAAAAAAAACCAAAAATAAGTCAGTTACTTATAAACAGTATTTCTGTTTGTTAATTATTGTCATTTGGTCACCATTTACCTCAATGTATACTGATCAATCCTCAATTACAACGTAAAAATACATTATGATTGCCAATTAAAACAGTGGTCTAGGCATGTTTCAAGATTCCAGGTCAGTAACATCTAACTTAACATTATTTTATAAACAAATTATTTAGTTACCACGTGAAACCGTGTCATATCTTGATCTGACTAACTAAAGGCTTTCTCTATACTTTCTCCATAATGAATCGCAAAAACCGATTAGCAAACTTTCTGAAGCAGGAGATATTCACGTTATTTAAAGCTGAACTAATATATATATATATATATATATATATATATATATATATATATAACACCTCAGACATATAAATCATCGAGACAGAGCCAAGCACATACGTCTATCGGTCCGAGTTACAATACCACACTAACATTTAGATCAAACTAATAAGATATATATTAGTTCAGCCTTGACAAAAGTCAACGTGCTTCACAAAGTTCGCTAATCGATTTTTGCGCTAACATAATAGTAGAGCATAGACCAATCCCACTCATAATAGGTATCATTAGTTTCAAATTCATAAATTGTCTAGAGTATCGTGTAGCAACACACAAATGCAAATCTGCTTTGAGCCTTCACAGTTTGTGAAATTATTGAACACTATCTGGTGGTGTGTGTCTCGAAAGTAATTTTTCGGAACACTACTCTTATTATAATAGGTTTGTGATCCGAAAAAAACCAGTAAATATATACAATCCCAGAGGTAGATAATAAGATCAAGAACAATGTGGATGCACGCAAACGATTGAGTGACCTTTTATGTAAAGAAACCTCAGCAAGAGGTTCATCGTGTTCCGTAAATTCTGTTAAGATTAATGTGGTGATTCAGGTATACCAGAACAAAATGCTTCGTGAGTCTCATCGATTGATTTAATACATACAGCTAAAATATTAACGACTGTAACATAAATAAATGCTCTATTCGTATCACAAAAAAGTAGTCACCAAAGCGTAAAACTAGTGAATTAATCAGTTAAGTTTCTGTGAAACACTGGTTAAAAACTGACTCTACATTTTTCTAGATCAAACACATTAACAGATAGCAAGAAAAACTGATCGATTGGTCTGTTAACTGCACAATAAGAATTCAACACTAAATAGGATAAGTACGACTTCGTGAATATCTACAACTTGCATATGAGTGATAATCCGAAGCGTTAAGTGGCTTACTGTCATTATATTTGTCTTTTGATAATAAGTCACTCAAATCAACTTTCTGACCAGAACAAAAATTGTTGCTCGTATCAATGTGTACATAGAAGGAAACAATGCTAGTTCTGTGAGTATGCACCCCATCTAACATTATCCTGATGTAATTTTGACGTTATTTCTGTAGTTAATTGCTTTTTTTTCAATCAACGGCTGCGTTTACTTCGCATATAAATATAATATTACACAATTACTATATTTTCCTATGATCCATTCTGAATGAATGTATAAAAAGAGAAGATTTGGAGATATGTCATCGGTTCTCTTGTAAAATTAAAATATATTCCAAATTTGAATTGATGCTATAAAATTTAATACAAAATGTAATACTGTCAATTAGATTAAGGCAATTCTACCGACTGCCAACTCCTTACTTTAAGAAGTAGAGGTTATTTTTTTAAAAAAAGAAATATACACGACACGCCCTAGGCGTATAAAAATTTAGCAGTTATTAAGCACAAAATGTAGTATCATTTCCAATAAAAAAGATATTTACAATAGTTTGTATGTGAGCAAAATCAAACCAGTTGTCGTCATCGCTATCACAAACATGGCGCCTGAGAAAATTAGAAAAGGCAGTACAAACGAATTCGGATGATATGCAAGAACAAATAAAATGAATATAAGGATAAAGTATAATTCAGTACAAAATTTATTAAATACACAAATTATTGAATTCGATACAAATTGATATGTACGTAAAACAACAAATCAAATGAAAAAAATGACAAAAATCATAGATTTTAAAAAAAAAGGAAATGAGCAAAAAAGTCAGTGTGCACAAATATATTATTTTATAGAAGAAAAAGTAGTGTAGTGATTGCAACTAATATTAGTACATTGAATAGATTTCATCCATCATAGATTGTAATATCAACCTATAGGATTCTTGTTTTTCTCCAGATGTATCTAGTGAATCGTTTAAATCCGAGTGTTGTTCCGGACCTCGACCAAAAAATCGTATCAGTTTACGATGGACACTAAAGAAAAAAATAGTGGAGCCAATAATAATTAAAATTATTTTAAAAAATATAATATACAATTAAGATTAGAAAGGAAAGCAGATGTTATATAATAAGATTTCACTTAGTATCTCAATTAACGATATCAATTAATGTAATTATTTTATTTTCCATGTGGGTAGTCAGTAAATTTTCATTGGTAATTTACTACATTTTTCCCTTAGTAACATGCAATCTGTGTATAAAGATAGGTACCTACAATATTAGATGCGACGAAAAACCTGTTACATATCAGGTAACTAATGTAACTGATGTAATACTAATAACAGATGTATATCTTCCAACCAATAGGCGAATTGCACTCCACAACAGTTCTCTCTGTATTCCTTAGACTTTAAACATAGTCTATAAAGGTAGAGGGAAAATGTGTGCTGTATGCTTTGTCTTAGACGCATTACTTGCCTTTCATAGAGTTACCGAGTAAATAATGATGAGATTAGGCATAGGATAACAGACAAATATGACAAAACAGTTGGTGAGGTTATAAATCTTCACCAACTGAAGTGGTTAGGATATGTATTACACATCCTTAGCTAGCACCTAGCTCGATGAACGATGCTAGCTAGAGTAAAATTAATTCTGGAAAAAGGAACTAGGTGAGCACAAATTAAGACGTAGCACCATCGCCCCCCATAATTGCATTAATGTTAGTCTGAAATGTATCGGTAGATGCAGATTACCCAGTTGAAGAATGTCCAGTAAGTGCAGACAATGGGTGAAATAAATCGGAATCAGTCTTGATAACTCAGATGCAATCACTCTTTATCTTACTCCAGCTCTTGAGTAACAGTATTCCTTCATTTAATCCAGAGTATTTCTTCTCCTTGAACCATATTCTCAATATTTATCTTCCTTCACTACTATTAATACCGCTATTATTTTAACTCACTTGCTACTCAACCATAATTTTCTTTCATCAATTGACTGATACGATGTAGGACAACTAGATATGACGTAAAACTATGCTAGGATATAAGCTATTTACGATTGAGTAATCGATTGACTGGATAACTAATTACTATTAGTATTATCATACAGTAAAAAGGTTGATACAACAAAACACCAAGAAATTCTCCATAAAAAATAAAATGAGAAATATTGTGAAGAAATATGAAACCGAGAAAATCATGAAATAAATAAGCTAAAATAACAAGAATAGTATATGTTTCAATTTTTTAAAAAGAAAGTTTAACAACATAATCAAGATAGATTTTATTCAGCTTGAAGAGACAGAATGTACTGTTTTCGTTGATTTCTATTCTAGCCTATATTTAAAAATGTAAAAACTGACTAACTATTATTCATAAAGTGAATTCAGAAAGAAAATTTATATCATCCCCTTGAACTTAGAATTAATTATTCTGTCTATTATATATGTTCTCATTCCTGGGACTTATTTTTTTCTAATTGGTTTGAGTTTTTTATGTCAAAGTTTGATGTTTGTGCAACGAACTAATTTATTCGCTACTCCAACTTCAATACACTGAAAAAAACTATTTTCATTCGTTTTATTCTCTTTAGCCGTTAACTACAATGAAAAGATTAAGTTTTTGTAGAAAGTTGTTTCTTTATAAAGACCTAAGAAGAATTGAAGTTGAATATTCAAATTAATTCAATTATGTATCGATTCAATTGATTATTAGCTAAAAAGTTTGATCAATTGATCAATTGTCATTGAACATAGAATCATAATCCATTAATCAATACAAGAAGAAATGAATTAAATAATTAATAACAAATGAAAATATACGGAAAATTAATGAACAAAATTTACTTTGAATAGATTAACAACAACGAAAATGCGCTAAAATTAATTAAACAAAATTTTCCTTGAAAAAGTTTGAACCAGAATGCCAGGCAAAACGTTGAATTTACTTCAAATTCATTCGCTGAGATTTTATAAATACATTCTTCCTCAATTAATGTTTAATTTCAATTTTTTATGACCAACTCCTCTAACATGAGTAAGGTTTCTTTTTAAAGTGCTAAAATTATAACTATTTTGTTAATATTGGTAACATTTTACTAAAACTAAAAACCGTAAACGCCTTTTTTTCTAATTCATTTTTTTTTACATAACCTTAACCTTATTCTGTTTAGTTGCTTGTACTTTCAGTTCAATAAATTTCTGCATACCTGAATGTCATGCCTCCGTTACACATACCGATGGAGTACCAATTCGTTGTGTACCGCTTGTTATATCAAGTTTCCTATTATCTGTCTTTTCGGTAATGTTAACCATTATGTGCTGATGTGTTGTATGCTAGTTTCCGTCATCGATCACGAAGAGAACCATCTGTATTAGATATTATAGGCCCGCATTGAAGTTTAAATAACAAAGTTATGAACCATATTCCGTTTAAATTTACGGCGTCGTTTACGAGTTCATTTTCTGCATAGTCCCGGAGTTATCAGAATTCATATTCATAAACCTAACCTTTGTGCTCGAATTAAGCTTGTACAACCACTCTTGGCCATTGATATAAGAATAGATTTAAACTAAACTTCGATTCACTCTATCCTTTTGAAAAATTTATAATTTCTTCCACTTTTACGCTCCTACATATTTTCAGTATTCGTTTATCATAATATTGACATTTTATTGAAATATTTTGTTAATTCTCTTATTAAATATTATGTAATCTGGCAACAGTTTGATTTGATTTCTTCGATTTTTACAAATAATTACTTTTATCATCATTATACTCCTTGTTCCAATTACTTAGTTAATCCATTGACATTATTTACAGAATCTCCTGTGAAATTGTAATATTATTGAATACGACTACCTGATTAACATTTTTATTGGTGTAGAACCGTGATGAAAAACGAATTGAAAAGAAATTTCGGTGGGACTATAACTTTTGAACGACCATTGAGCAACGCTAAAGTGACCTTGAGACAATTCACCTACTGACCAATGTCAAAAGATGGTCATAAATCAATATGAGAAATTGGGATTAAGATTGAAAGTTAGAATTTAAGGTTACGAATTAAAGTAAAGGTTTTCATCACGAACTGACACCAACTATAATCCCAAAATGCTATTTAACTGTATGGATGAAAGAATTTCACGCCCAAATCCAAGATTTACCATCCTTAATTTCATTGTTTCATTCAGAAATTATAGTCTCGCTGAAATTTCTTGTATTTAATCATTTTAATAAATCTGTAAAGTCCATGTACACTTTGTTTTCCTTTACACAAACTATTCATTTACAAATCTTTTTTGTATCGAAAAACAGGCCGAAAATTTGCCGCTGTTATTTTAAGCTCGTCCCTATATTAAACCATATTAACCACACCTTCTAAGTATTTAATAAAAGTGAGATAAGTAGAACTTTTCTCTAAAAGTTAGTGTATCAGTGCTGCATGTAAGAGTGCAATTTTCACTGAGGACTACATTTTAATCGTCCGGAGCTATGGACATATTTCTATGAACACGTAACTATAGCGCATCCCAACTTCCCGGATGAAAAAAAACTAAATTAAGTGAAAGTAGAGCTCGGAATGAATTCCCCAGTGAAAATTATCCTATTACATGTCACTTAACCATTAACTGAACATAAAATTGCCTGAAAATATTTGATATCGCATAGATAATGAACATTAAATAACGGATGCGCTACATATTCACGGGTATGTATCCCAACTCCAATATTTCTACCGTTCAAAGGACAACTTGAATAGGATATTACTAAAACAAGTGTGACAAACATTGGGTAGACTTATCTTATTATACCTAAATTTTAACGACAGTAACAATAATAGTCTCGCCTACATTTTGTGATTATCTAGTCACAAATCTCATACAAAAAATGTAATACCATTTGGATCGATGAAAGAAAATAATTATTGTTATCAACATGATATGTAAACATAGATTATTTCGAAAGTGAAAAAAATAAACTCGCCTCAACATATTCTAACAAACACTGTGTGTGATTGTGCTTACTACCCTACCGGTTAATAAACACAATTAAATTTATTTATATAGAAAACTTCGTATTATGAGAAAACTCATATAATATTATTTTATGTTAAAACAAGTAATGAGAACAAAATAATTTGAATTCGGATTGTTCGATAAGCAAAATTATCATGTGTTACTTAGCGAAAAAGAAGTGTACTTTAGATACACGTTACTATGGTTACATATCTTTGGTATCCATCATTCATTATGTTACAGTAACATCAATTAAGTTAATCAATAGGCAATTTTGTAGAAATGTTCACAAATTAATTGATGTTTTAAACCTAACAATACTGAAAATTAGGTCAGAAACTAAACCTCCATAAGAATGTAAAATAGAAAAATGTTTAAAAACAAACAAACACGTAACGGAAATAACACTTCCTAAAAGAAGTATGAGAAATTTAAGGAAAAGAAATACTATCAACAAAGACGTTTCTATCTTTAGTTATCAACTGACTTTCAACAATGGGGACATTAAAAAAACAAGCAAGAAATATGTTCTAAGAATACATGAAAAAAATTGAACGCAAAAAGGTAGGAATTTAAAATTTAGGAGTAAACATTCAAGAATTTTAAGGTGTTTCTAACAATGATGTATATTAATCTAAGATTTAGTTATCTCTGATTAGTCCATTTTGTTGCTATACTACGTCAATATGAACAAGATCTTTAAGGTATCCAAACATATACACATTGTTTGCCTTCAAAAAATAGTCACTCATTATTGAGAGGTACGATTACAAACAGTCACATTAACTGTCACTATACTCTGAGTTTGAGTAAAAATAATACCTATTAATATAATGTGCATGTTCGAAATTCTTTCCATAATTAACTGCTGCTATCGATATCTCGGTCAACCGATGTACTCAAATTTCATCCTTGATATCAAAAGATGTTTTTAATGTAGAGTTAGGAAAAGTATTGAATTTATTCATTATTCATACTTATTCCCATTCTATATTAGCGATACCTCTCAATGTGGGACTCGAGTACATTAACTCCTGAGTGCATAAATCTGTACTTAATAAATAGGTTGGATTATATGCTTAGAATTAAACATAACACTAAGCATTGATTCTCAAACTAACCTAATACTTCACTGATGTAAAACTCAGCAAAATTTGTCTACTAATCTTTGGATCATACTTATTGTATGTAAAATAGAGACTGGATTGAGTTAGGAAGAGCAGGTTCAAAATTTGACTCGAAATTTTTGAGAATTCAATCTAAAGTGACAACTCAATAGTTTGTATGTTTGAGAAATATACTTAAATTGTGACTCATTTCATTTTATTTCATTTACGTGAAATCTGGTACAACTAGGAGTCAAAAATAAAATACACCACACAACACAAAATTCGGGCTAGGATATTGCCCGAAAGTTCGGGCCGGAATATTTGGGTACCTCAGGGGCCCTTAAACCTAAAAGTTTAGTCCACAAAGCAGTAAAACGGGACCTAGTGACAAAAAATAAGTCCATATACTGACCTCCTCCCCCAGAATCCTGTAACCCATGCACACCATTGGTTTGCAGTAAGGGTTTTCCAACTACCCAACGTAGACCCACTTCAAGAACAGGACAGGACGATTTATCAATTCTTCTTGAGTCACGTTTTCACCTTTTTAATTATTCACTTATCAACCTTGACTGTTGTTCTATGAGTGTATGTGTGTACAACTTATCCTACTCATCACATATCTGTAGTTTATTTTTGTGTGACTATAAATATCGATTAACACCTGATTAAATGGAACTGGCTTTCATGACTTCTCCACTGCGCGTCGTTTCCTTTCTCTTCGCTCTCTCTTCTACCTTTCCTTCGGTAGGGCTCTCTGATTGTCTGTTCCGATCACCAATTGTACAAAACATACATATTCGAGATCCATACTTGACTTAATCCATATTTAACTCAATTTCGTCATTCACCAACGCTATTTAAGTCGGTGTTTATATACGAGAGCTGGCGATATGTATATTTCAATACCAATCAATCATACAATATAACTGGAGTCAGATCCCGAGCCACAAAAATTTCCCCTTGTTTCCGGCTTCTCAGTCACTTTATAATCTATTTTGAAATATTTTCAAACAAACTTAGATTAATTAAATATTAACTAGTGAAATAATAACCTTGTCGCTTAATGCTAATTGTCTTTGATAAATTGTAAATATTTCCAAAGATTGAAAGGTTATTAGTAAATGAATCCAACTTACAAGCAAATAATGTCGGATTTTTTAATTAATTCTCCATCAGAACACCAAATTGTTGTTTTCTTCTGACTTACAGTGGGACATGAAGAATTTGGCTCAGACAAAGAGGTAGTTGGTAATGATTCAATAATTGGATCATCACTGGCATTGTGAATTACTTGTAAATTATTCTGTTTATTACATAAACAGTTTTGTTTATTATTATCTAACTTTTTTAATTTTGATTTATTTTGTGCAACAAATCGAAAAGCGCATACTTTCACAACACTGACAAATGGAAAATTAAAAGGATTTTCCTCAGGTGTCATATGACGATTCCGTGCTATACTCATAAGATATCGAATGAATTGAACTTTGGAACATTTATGCACGAAAACTAAATCCAAACAACCATCACTTAAATGTGCCCAAGGTGCAGGACCACAAACGGCTAGTGCACATCGACAACTTTGAACAAATGCATTAATTGCTAAAAACGTGCCTCGGATGGTATGCCAATGTTTTATTGGTTTAAGTGAACTCCGACTTAGTGATAATTGATTATCATGTAATTGTTCTACTCCAATGTTAGAAACTCTTTCGTTTGACATAATATTGCACGGATTAACATCAAAGGAATTCCTACTGAAATTTTTATCTAAAGATCACATGAACAAGATTTTTAAAAACAATCAAAATGAGTTTATTCAATTAGGATTGGTATTGAGAAAACTTATATGACACGAGAAATTTGTTACAAATAAAATTTCAGGGTTTATTTATGCTTCCCCAAGTGTAATGCCTAAGTGAAACAATTTCTATTAAATAGACCGTAAGTTAGAATCTAGTACACTTTAGGTAGCTCACAAAGGCCGAGAGTGGAAAATCCGCTTACCCTCTCGAAATGCTCTCACATGACCACGCGTATGCAGCCACTGTTAAGGAAGTCCGACTCACTGCCTTCTCGTGGTGGGGTGTTGTTTGTGAAATCGAGAGGAAGAAAAGAGAATGTCTGACGCTTTAACTGGGTTGGTGAACACGGAGGATCCACATAAGGGAGTTGGAAAACCCTCATTCCAAAGCATTGGTGTATATGGGATTGAGAATCCTGAGGGAACAAATTGTGTATGGTCACCGGCTACCATGGGACGACATCACCTTGTGGATTAGACCTCTAAGTCAAAAGTTCGGGGGGTGACCCCCTGAAGAAAACCATCTGTTTTGGTTTGAGCGGCCGGGCAGTATGCCAGCCTTCACACATAGTGAATAGTTTGTGTGGCACATGTATCTGACGCCTTCGTGTACCAATCTTTATGTATTCAAATAAATAAATACAATTTGTGTACCTGAGTTTTATCATTAACATGCATATAATACATTTTAATGTTTTTTGTATAAACATGTAAATACCAAGACGTTAGAAGCAATAGTAGGTAAGAAATGCTTACATCATGCACTGATCTTGGTTACATAACTATTAAAAACTAGAAACTGTGGGATAGATTCTTCGTCTTAGTATGGGACCCCAAAATATTGCACATTTATTATTTATTTATCTTAACACAGAGGTATAGGTACAAGGAGGCACCAAATACATATGCGCCACACAAATCTCAAATGATTTGTGTGAGGGCTGTGATACTGCCCGGGTGCCCGAACCGAAGCAGGTGGTTTTCTTAGGGGGCCACACCCCGAGCCTTCGACCTGAACGTCTGACCCACAAGGCAGTGGAGCATCGTAAGGAGATGCAGTCCCATGGTAGCCGGTGACCAATGATTGGTTCATATGCCATTTGTTCCGTCAGGATACTGGAGCCCATGTGCACCATTGGTTTGCACATCCACAACATCACTGGGGATCGAACCCAAGACCTTCAGTCCAGGTGATGAGCCCTTACTCTTTCGGTTACTGAGACGACATCCAATAATTTATATGTCTAACTTGAAATAAACCGGTTGATTTCCTCTTGATTATATATGATAGATAAATAAGGTGAGAATTGCATTACATTAATAATACCTTCTGTGTTTTAATTCAATTTGATACTATAAAAAAATTGTTGGAAGTCACTAATACAAATTCGTAAAATATTTCAATGGTTATTATCAAAAAAGGGTTTTGTGAAGATTGTAGTAATTTAAAAGTTGAGTTCGTGAGTCAATTAAAGCTACAGTACCATAGAAAGCGTGGAAGCACTGGACAGCCGTTTCATCTTATTACGGAACTCCGCGGTAGTGCGCACACATGACCCCGGCCAAGGGACTCGAGCCTGGGACCTTCTGTCTGGCGCGCGAGCGCCTAACTTCTAGACCACCGAGCCAGCATCCAACGGTGTTAATGTCTACCTGGAACTAGTTTACGAAACTGCGCCACCATCCACCATTGTCTTCAGTGAGTTACTATCTCACAACAGATCCCGTTGTCGTTAACTCATGAACCCAACTATTAAATTACTATAATCTCCATAAAACCCCCTTCTGATAATAATCATCATGTGCTTACTAGTGACTGGCTTTAAGAGGTATTTCCTGGAGTTCTAGTGAGAAGCCGTGACCAGTGGAGTTCATCTGGGTCTGTTGTAAGATAGTAACTCACTGAAGACAATGGTGGACGGTGGCGCAATTTTGTAAACTCGCTCCAGGTAGACATTAACACCATTGGATACCGATTCAGTGGTCTAGAAGTTAAGCGCTCACGCGCCAGACAGAAGGTCCTGTGTTCGAAACACCTGAGCGAGGTCATGGATGAGCACTGCTGAGTAGCGTACTAGGACGAAACGGCTGTTTATTGCTTGCAGGTTTTCCATGGTGTTCTAGTTCTAATCGACCCATGAACTAAACTATTAAATTACATTCTGATGGGTTTATGTGATGAAGATATATTAGTATATTACAGCGCACATTTTTTTCACACGGTAGATCATGACATCATGGGATAAGGAATATTTTTTAATCAGATTATAAATAAAAGACAAAATGTCATAAAATTGTAGATTTTTGGAAATTTAAATTAATTTTGTGAAAAGTGACAATACTTTTTCCAGCTTACATAACAGATCGACATAATTTAGACAACCAATGAAAACCAGGATGAGTCATATAGTTTGTTCTAGTTTATGACTCCCGAACAGCATACATAAGATCGTCTGGAATCCAACCTAGAACATTTAAGTTTTATGCATATATTATACAATTGAACTGCTGGTTTGCCCTCTGATGTTTTGCATTCCTAACTTAATTAAATGTACAAAACAGCACCACTAGTATCTAGCACCGTCGCTGATTGATAACTGTCTTCATAAGAGCATGATTCACTCCATAGATCACATTTGTCTAATCTTTGGTTTTCAATAATTCCTTATTTGATATTAGTTCGTGACAAACATTATGCAGCACAGATTTACTAAATGAGAATTATTAAAACTGGTATAACCCCTCCAAAAACACACAATTTCGAACGATGACGCAATAGTGAATGTAAGTTCAAAATAACTTTAAGCCAAACTAGCTCTATACCTCTCCCTTCTGATGACCTCTAACCTAGCCCCAAACAGTTGAGATCAAATGAAGCAGAAGTTGTAGTACCACTCTCTAACTGACGATGACATAGTGATAAACGAGTGCGTATTTACAGAAAATTGAGCGCATGCTTGAGTAATACCCATTAAAGATGCGTGCAGTTTAAAAATTCAAAATAACGATTTTTGCAACAAATTTTCCATAGGCTAGATTTGGACGAATTCTGGAAAAATAACCCATCCTCAAGTAAAATGAACAACACGAGTGTATAAAAATAGATGAAAATCACAGCTACTATAATAACTGAAATCTAACTCACCAAATTTAAAACCAGATAAATGAGATTTGAAAATTTTACGTCCATCAATGTTCGATGAAATACTCAAGCCTAGATCAGAATCCAGTGATTTCTGATTGATTAGTACTTGTGAATTACTTACACTTTGAGTACTACCATTGATTAAACTAGACGGTGTACTAGAAAAATCACTACTATCTCGAATATTCATTGAGGAATTCAAGGGCACATCAAATTCCGTTTCATGATGTTTTATACTAAATGTATTCAGTGAATGATCAACAGGCAATGAATCGTCAGTTTGATGATAAATGTTTGATTCACAAATAGAACAGCTAAATGAAAATAATTTATGTACAAAAACATATAAGAAAATAGTGTATACAAATAAATGAAAAAGAAAATCATATTCAAAAAAAAAATTTCCTAGGAAACCAATTAATATAAAATTGGTAACTCAAACCATAAAGTAATTAACTTTGCTATTGTATTGAATTAAAGTAGCCAATGAAGAAAGTAAGCAGCTAATGTGGCGAAAATATACTAAACTAGTTAATCTTATTACCATACCAATAATGATATCGAAGAAGGATCTCACATCATTTCATGGGAGAAATGATATGGCGAGTAATAGCTTAATCAATCGAAATGTGAACGACATATGAAATTGATTGTTCTTAATTGTGTGTGACATGTATTCATCACATCTTAAAAAGTATTATGGATGCCTAATTACATAATATGGTAAATATGTATCCACATAGTAAGTTATTGAATTTTATTGTTAAATACAACTTAATTCAATTTAGACAAATTTGACTGTTAATTTAACTGTAAACAAATCATATAAAAAGTAGTATATTCATAAATCCTTTTTTGATTTATTGTGGAAGTCAAATAAATTTTTATCATCAGTCTTTGTTTTTACATTTTCCCTTTTCTCTTGTGTTCCAATTGCTGTGTAGATTCAATTTAGGTTTATTTAGTAAGATTTATCCAAAGTGAAATTGACTAATGGATCAATTAAAGGCATACATATTCAATTAAATATCATTCAACTCTTGATGTAGAAAAGAAACTGAACAACAAAAGCTGGTAAATTATTAAGGTAAAAAGTAAAATATCGAAGACAAATAAATGATTGTATACAATTAGAGTTTTAAACTCTTCTCTTTTTAAGATTAAAAATGTCAGCAATTTATATTCAATATAAATTGAACTAAGATATAATTAATTAACTATCAATAAAAAATAAATTACTGAAGTTATCTAGTAACTTCATGGAAATTATTATACTATTTAATGAGTATTACAATTATTAGAAAGTGATATGAAATAAATATTATAAATAATTAGATAATAATGAACATTAATCCATAAAATATTCGACAAATCTTGATGTTATCCAAATACATTCAATAGAAATAAAGAGAATTCAGTGAAGAGAACTTTCTTTTTGACGAAATTATTTACTTAAGCTATACATCTGTATTTATAGTTATACGGAAAATATATATCTATAGAAGGATTGAAAAGATTGCATCATAAACATCTTCGAGACATCTAAACGCTTTTTAGAACACTTACCAGCACGGCTTTTAAAAGGAGAATGTAAAACAATTACCAATTCAATACAGGAGCATTTATTCAATTGTGGACATATCGTTCCAAATAAGTCTTCTTCTAAAGTAATCTACACAGTCAAAGAAATTGGATCGAAGGGAAGTCGAATCAATATTTTATGCACTGCTGCGGCATTGGCGATCTGCGAACTCAAACCTGAACACTAAGTGCAAAAATGATTCGTCCAACCACCCACCCTTCCTTGGCCCCAATTCTCTTTAGTGGTATGTTTTGGTTTCTTTATTCTATCTGGTTATTATTGATTCTTTAAATTTTTTTGTAATTTTAAACTCTAACAGTTATTATAATTACCTTATACAAGTTTTCTTGATTATTATTCAGTTTTTATTATTATGACCTCTATGTTTGTCATTCTTCTTTATATCTGTCAATTGGACAATTATCTGACCCGTAAATTATTTCCATTCTTATATTTCTTCCTTACCCCTTGATTATTGCGTAACCTCATTAGATAATAAGTCTCGAATATATTTATGATGCAATCTTTTCAATCCTTCTACAGATATATGTTTTCCATATAACTATAAATACGGATGTATAGCTTAAATAAACGATTTCGTCGAAAAGGAAGTTCTCTTCACTGAATTTTCTTTATTTTTTATTCAATGAAACGATGGATTATTTTAATTATCCAAATACATTCGCTTTTGTAGTTTTCCATTTGAATTTTCTGAGAAAGAAAATGTTTACAATGTACTATAATTGTACAGAAATAAATATACATTTCTTTTTTACAAATTAAAACGAACTATTATTATGAAATAGTTCTTTTTGTTAACAGATTCTAATTGGTAAACTAACGAATATTGGACAGTTGTTTCATCTTCAACGGTAAACTAAGCTAGTCTTCATAACTAGTTAAATAAATAATGATGTACTCATCAGTTGATGGCTGAGATATATTCATAAATTTCTGTTGAGAATTCGTGACTGGAAGAGATATTCATCACGGTGGAAAATGGATAGTGATTGTACTACACTGGGAATCCATTGAAGTTAAAAATATAAGCCAACAGATTTCATTTGCTTAATAATCGAAAGATAATGGCCTCGGTGTGTGACCTGAGGATTCTAAATAGTTTGATCCCTGATGTAGTTATGGATATACATTGTTAGGACGTCCAAAATAAGGACGAAATAGTTGTTCACTTTTTCCTGCTCTTCAACGACTCAGTAGCTGAAGTTAGTCGATAACGAATACCATCACAAAATTGAACCAATCTACAAAACGACCATTTTGTTGGGAAAAGTGTTGATGTCAACTGATGAGCTTTATAAGTTCTAGGTTATACAAACACTTTACCTGAGAGCTAATAACAAATTCATAAATAAGTAATAAAAACCAGACAAGCGCAACAAAATGTCTTTTCAAGTAACAAGAGGAGGGAAAGATTACAGAAAAATTAATAGGCTTTTGTTTGTATTATTTCCTGAGCTCGACGGTTTCACTATAAAACATTGAATGTCGTTCTGGACGACGTCACCACAGTTTACTCCATTTATTTATTATATTTATTTATTTGAACACATAAATATTGGTACAGAGGGGCACCAAATATATATGCGCCACACAAAACAATGATAATTTGAAGAGAAGGAGAAAAAAAAAGTAATGAACGTGGGGAATTATAAAAAAAAAAGGAGAGAGAGAGAACAGTGGTGGGGGAAACGGAAAGGTACAATCAGAAGAGATCTTTCAGTTAATGAAGATACAACCACTTTTTATGAAGAAAGTAAGAGGTTACAGCACGATCGCCACTGGCTTCTATTCTGAGCCATATCTGACAACGTCTCTAGCCACTGTGTTACACCGTCTCTCGGACCCCAACCAGGGAGTCGTGAAGGACCAACAGAAGCTAGCCCTTTGCAGCTTTCTTTCATACCACGACACCATGTCATACACTGACCACCTCTCCGCTTTTTCCAACCAGTCCCAGAGTCGGCAAATAATGCACGACGAGGAATTCTCTGGGACGACATTCGTAGAACATGTCCAAGCCAGCGAAGTCGGTGTTTCAAGATGGTGACACCAATTGAATTATCGTCTCTGTGACCGAACACTCGATACCGAACCTCTGCATTACTGACATGGTGTTGCCACTGGATGCCAGCAATCCTTCGGAGACAACGATGATCGAACACAGAGAGTCGTCTAACATCCTCAACTCGGAGAGGCCAGGTTTCACAAGCATAGAGCAAAACTGCTCTCACCGTCGCGTTGTAGATCCGACCTTTTACAGCCAGACTAACATCACGAAGGCGCCAAAGGTGGCCCAGATTGGCATAAGCCGCTCTGGCTTTCACTATACGAGCATTGATCTCATCACTCACACCACCACCAGCACTTATGCAGCTACCTAGATACACGAACTTCTCGACTACTTCAATCTGCTCACCATCCAGAGTGAGTACAGGATTAGAATCCTGCCAGTCTTGTAGAAGTACTTTGCACTTCGAAGGTGCAAAGCACATACCATACCTACGGACACTGATTGCTAACTGATTAAGTGCGGATTGCATAGCTTGAGCATTCTCCAAGTAGAAGTCAGTGGTTCAATTAATCTATACGCGCCAAACCAACCTATTCTGATGAACTCTTTTGTGAGTCATCGTTTATCAGAAGTATTCCCAGCTTCATTTGTGTATCCCTGTTGAAATTATGGTCTTTCTTGATATCATAGCATTACTCACTCTAACAAAAGCAAAACTCGCCAAAAATACCACATCATAGTTGCTCAGAAACGAAAAACTCTGAGAACAAACGAAAACACAGCGAACATATGGTGTATGCTACTTATGTCTGTCGACATAAGTAGTATGTAACACCAATCAGAATAGGAATGCATGGCAGCAGAAGGCTATGAATGTCGACTTGAGGAAAACAGAAGCAGAAATAGAAAGGAAATGTGACTTGGAAGAATCGTACAGAATGTGAAGGAGAAATGATGAAATTATGAAAATGAAGTATTCATGTATGGCTCTCGTATTTTACCAAGAGTTTTTATAATTCGGTATTTAAATAGATTGGTTGTCTCCACATGTGATCTCATTCATTACAACCATATTAAATAGAACTTATCGGACTGTGTCTTACAACATATTTCCAATTCAATAAACAGATTTACAAGTAGACTAAAGGAACTACAATAAGACCACAAATATCAGGAATGATCGCACAAGCTGTTATGCAGACTCGAAACTACAGTTCCACCAGTAATTAATCCAAATCTTTGGATGAGTTAAGTGGATGACATGTTTGCTACCTGCAAGAGAAAATATCATCATAATGATTAGCAACATTTTCGAAGACATCAATTTTATAAGAGAAGAATCAGAAAACAAAATCCAATTCATGTATATGTCAATCAGCGAAATAAACGCAGGAACTTTAGAAACCCAAATATACAAGAAACTAAGCCAAGCACATGACGTACTAAGTTACAACACTCACAACCCAACGGCACACAGGAGCATTTATGTACAGACCTATTTCAAAAATAACAAAGAAAAATTAGAGAAACTCATTTTCTATCCGTCCTGAATAAACACGATTATTCCCATAAATTTATCGAAAACTGTCTAGAAACTCGATACATCGGCAGAAACAAGAAAAAACGTGTGTGTATGTGGGAGGAACATAATGATTGGTTGTTTGCTTAGCCAGACTAGTAGTTAGTCTGACAGTTATTATATGAGTTATATATTTGCTTACCATTATAACTACCATGATTGTTGTTGGTTTTTGGAGTGGAAATATACTTACGTTCTAATCAGGCTAGTGACGTGTTCTTGATCTGAGTTGTGTTGAAGTCCTGTAAAATAGACACTGAAAGGGTATCTAGTGTAGAAATTCGTCTAAAATGAATTAACATCCCATTCGTGTAGACGGGGAAAACTGAGGGCTATAACAATGAAGTCTTAGAAATTACCACAAGGATTGTAAAACATTTCAGAATCGAACTCGATTGCAAGTTAACAGAAACACTTTATTTCGTTTTATGCAAACCAGAAGACATAACGAAAGACAGATGCAATATAACCCACAAAAGAAATCAGTATGAAATTAGTAAAACTAAAGAAAATCATACTACTTACTACAAGTGTAATGATAATACAAATGCATCTACAATTAGCAAACCGTTTTAGACATGAATGATAAACATTATTTCCATCTTTATCTATCAAAGAGAAGTGATAATCACCCGCTTAAATAAAAAAATTATTAATAAATATATATTGATTATTTTTTTCCGTACCCACTATTACAAATAATACCGTTGGATGATAGGTTCTTTGGATCCGAACACGGTAGAAAAGATATTTCACCGTGATACGATGCATGTTGTAAAAGTGTCTTGAAGCCTATATGCAAATGAACAACATGTGAAAAAAAGAAAAAAATTCAAACATTGAACAATTGTGTTTTAAAACGTACAGTATATAGAGACAATGTTCTTAGAACAATGTCAGTCAGTTAATTATAGATCAGATGAAACAAAGGTACGTGTAAATGGATCGGTTTGAATGGTCACACTTGAAACAACAACACATTAAAAATGAAAAGCAAATAAATAGAAATCATTAGGTGGAAAGGTATAACCCGAAACTAACGAATGAAATCAGTGACACTGTATTTTCATACCATGTAATAGTTTAACTTCCTTCTACTCATATCATTTCACAAAAACGTCAACGAACCCATCATAAGAGCTGAATTATTAATGGTATTTGAAATTTTAGAGTACTAAGCCGTAGAGAGATTATATGACAAAAATAAAAAGAGCAACGACCAATTAAAGATTTTCTATTGAGATAAGTCACCGATCAATGTTAGACCACCACTGAAAACCTGGAAGCATTGGATAGTCGTTTCACCATAGCATAGGACTCTTCATTAGTGCGCATCCACGATCCCGCACACGGGACTGGAACTCAGGACCTTCTGTCTTAAGCGAACGCTTAACCTCTAGACCACTGAGCCGGCATCCAACGGTGTAAATATCTGGTTGAAGTTAGACAGTATACATTGAATCTTAATGGTTATACTACAACGTTCTTTTGTAACACTGGTAACAAAGAACGATGATGGATTGTTGGATATACCAATTACTAGTTTAAATACATATATATCACCACAATTTACGAGTCATATACTCATTACGATTTATATGTAACCTGATATATATGCTCACTTGTTACGTGGGCTGTCCGGGTGCCCACAACTACCCTGGTACGGCCGAGGATGCGGAGAATTAGCTTTCTCTCTCCAAATGCTGTCACATGGCCACGCGTATACAGCCACTGCCAGGGAAGTCCTACTCACTGCCTTTTCGCGGCGGAGGTGTTATTTACAAAGTTGAGATGACGAAAAGCGAATGTCTGACGCTTTAACCTGGTTGATGGACACGGAGAGTTCACCTAGGAGAGTTGGAAAACCCTGATTCTAAATCAATGGTGCATATTGGATCTAGGATCCCGAGGGAACGAATGGTGTATAAACCTATTGTTGGTCACTGGCTACCGTGGGACTGCATCACCTGACGTTTCTCCATTGCCTTGTGGATTGGACCTCTAAGTCAAGGGTTCAGAGTGTCACTCCAAGAAAACCACTGGCTTCACAGTCTGGGCACCAGAGCAGTATCACAGCTCCCACACATAAATCACGTCACTCGTGTAGCGTATATTTATTCGGCACCCCTTTGAACCGACATTTATGTGTTCAAATAATAATAATAATAATAATAATAATAATAATAATAATAATAATAATAACTTGTACAATGAATATTTTGAACGAAGTAATTCATAAAAACAAAGTGCAACGGTGACTAAGTGGTTGAAGCTTTCAACTTTCCTCCCAGTATGTTTCGAACTGTGTTCTATTATATTTGGTATGAATAGCCCACACACACGTGCGCAAAGAATGTGGTTCAAAGCGTAGTACGTAAACCTGTTCTTGATGTATGATTTACGTCAACAAATAAACCAAATCACAATTTGATTGAGATAGATAGTTACTTTTTAGGTAGTTGAAAGCAGTCAACAAGAAATCCTTAACCTAGTTTCAGTGCTATTTAGCGCTCGTCTGCAACGTATACCCAGCTTGAGACGCTATTGCTCAGTAATCAAGTAGAGATTGACCTCCTGTAGGATTAAAATATTTACAATTGATTGATCACAGTTTAGTGACCAATGCCATAATCGTCTAGTACTTTGATGCTGATCGAATTGCAACCACCTAACATCTCAACGCAGCGCGTGGGATATCGAGTTATTTAGACTAGTGACTAAACCGCAACCTGACTGACTGAATTCGATTAGCACTAACGGATTAAGCAAGTATGGTAATGTTCACTACTCACTAACAAAACAATCATACATAGACGGTGACTATTGCTAAATGTATATTTTACTTTTGCATTGTATCTTACCAAAACTGTATGATTTAACACAATTAGATTTTTTTAAAAAGAAACTAAGTGATTAATTGTAAGGATAAGGAGACTTTGATTTTTCTCTAACTTGCTGTGGCATTTTGTGGCAATGCAACATTGGGGTTATATTTATCAGAGTAACATTAATTCAGTTCGATATATTTGAACCAATCAAGTGTGACATTCGCTCAATATGACAAGTGCGAACTTTCACTGCAGATACAAGAGAGACGACACGTACATAACAGGGGTCAAAACAAGAAGGTAAAGTCGAACTAGACAAATATATTGTTATTTCTACCATGAACTTTGACTAAATAGAAAAAAATACACCAGACTTCACAAACATTTTAAATTAATTCCAGTCAAATAACTTTAGTAATCTGAATTTATGATTTGTGTTAATGACATGTAGAGGAGATAGAAAGATAGGAGTAATAAAGATAAATGTTATACACCAAACATGATATAATCTAATTGAGGTTAAGAGAAAAATTCACCACAAGTGATAAAATCCTACCAGAATAATTATATCTTTGAGAACCCATCCAACGTCGTTTATCATCATTACGCAAAAGATCAGAATGAAATCCATAGCCTAACATCGTTAGTACGTAACGAATAAATGTTCCATCGTCATCCGCATGTACAGCGACAACATCTAAACTAATATCATCACCTATTCATTAAAATGGACAAAGAGAAAATTGAATTTATAGGAAGAAGAAAAAAGGGATTCGTCTTAACTTACTCATCAATATGAAATTATGATTATCTGAAATAAATTCCATAGTCCAAAGACTTGACACTTTAAATTAGTATGAGGTTGAGATACAGAGGCAGCGAGTTAATCTTTTGCACTATACTTACATATGAACCTTATTACAAAACAGGGTTTTTAGTCGTCTTTAATAACTGAAACTTTGAAAATTACGTGAGAAGTAATAAATTTAGGTCCTACTTCAATGGTTTTCTCCATGACATGTAAGCGGCTATCTCTGAGGTTAATAAGTAGCAGAAACCAAAAAACCACCGACGGAAATTAGAGCAAAACATTAACATTTCAATCATATCTTCAAATAATAGTCTTAATATAGAAAGAAGCACGCTATGATGATGGTCTTAATACAGCAGATCACGAATGATTCGTTACAAAACTCCAATAATCGATCAAGTTTTGATTTAAGTTATAAAAGAACCTCTGTAGCTAGACATCTGAAACCTGACAAAGGCTTTGAATCACTCAACTTCGAAAAAAACCGGGTCTAACAATTTTAAAGCACAAAATGCTTCACACTGTTCTAAATTAGCCATCCTTCAAGATTTAAGGATTCTCCTCGACTAATTTCAGACATATGCTTCTTAAGTCTCACTTTCGACAGAAAACAGATATCGGATATTTGAATGCATGAACTAATCACTTTTCTATGAATTTGATGACTTTAATTATTTGAATTGTTATATTTATCAACCACCTTTTTGACTAAGCTAATGTCGAGCGACCCACTGTTGACTCGATCAGTGAAATAACATTAAACCTTTAAACTGACAATCACATTTAAATATATTAAAAACATTCCCGAACGTAACTGCTAACTTGACGCGGTGGTCGGGCTTGCCTATCGTGATGACCCAACCGACCTGTATTGGCAGGTCGATTGGAGAACGGTAAGACTAAAAGCAGCAACTCAAGGTCTGAGGGCGAAGTCGTACTGCTGACTGTACAGAGGTGTGACAGCAGTAAGGTGTTTCCCTCGGACAACCAGCATCTGCAGCAATGCTGCATTCTCACAAGGAAGGAGGGGGTTAGAAAAGGTCGACCCTAAAAATGTCACACCTCACCTTACCCCACGGATTTCCGTCTCCGGCGGTAAGGCCCTTTGAAGAACGGAGCTAACACGTTAAAAACGTCCCACAAAAAGGCCGTACGCGACCGGCCTCAAGCAGTTGTCCCTTGGGCTCTGCAGTCACGCTCAACCCTCATAATCGTAACAGCACATGAAAACAAGTTGGTCACATTCAAGTCCTTCCTAAACCTTTCAATAGCCCTCATATCTCCACAACTAATCCCTCTCACGTCCCTTTATCACCTCGCACCGCTAATGCAAACGATTCAAGTACGCGGAACGTTATCCCTGGTCTCCTGAAACCACGCTCTAAACTAAATGTAGGAGCTTTTAACGTCAGAACACAGGAACATATAGGACAACAGGCTTCCCTAGCCAAGATTAGAATCTCGCGACCGTCTGTTGCAGCTAGGCTCAGATAACAGCCTGTTTCTTGCAAACACTAACTTTAAGTATAAGGAAAAACATTATTTAACATGGCGACCCCCGAATTCGTCTCAACGCTGGACCCAAATAGATCACATCGCTATCAGCCACCGATGGAGGGGCTCGATAGGAGACTCGCTCATTCTGGAGCACATGCTTAGACTCAGATCATGCTCTAGTGCGAGCGCGTATTTGTCTACGTCTTACTGGACGTAGGAAAGACGCTACAAGGAAACCTCTTAGGGACCTACTTAATGATAGCCGAGCTAAGAATATATTTCAGGGAGAGCTAGAAAAACAGTTAGACAGCCATGTAAGTGATGCCCGTCCCGAGGCAGCTTGGAATGACATCCGGAAATCCGTGGAAACAGCAGTGATATCTACTAGTAAGGTAAACCATAAGGTTAGGGAGAAACACTGGATCTCAGCAGCATCTACCGCACTGATAGATGCTCGAAAACTCATCCCATCTGGCTCTGAACATAACGAAGAGCGGAGTCAGCTTAAGCGTAAGCTGACCAGAAGCCTACGCAATGATCGTGAACAGTGGTGGGTAGTGAAAGCAAGAGAGATGAAAAAGGCAGAGGCAATAGGTAACAACAGGCAACTGTTCAGACTTGTTAAGGAAACCGGTATTAGGAACTCAACTCTTAGCGAAACAATCTCAGAGAAAGATGGACATAATGTACATTCTCAATCCAGGAGATTGGATCGATGGGCAGAACACTTTAGGGATCAGTTCAACTGGCTTTCAGCCACACTTCGGTTTCCCACGATCTCCAGTCGACCTGAATGGCAAGTTGATGTAAGTCCTCCGACTCTTTACAAAGTTGAAAAAGCTATAGGAAATCTGAAGCGTGGGAGAGCAGCAGGCCCTGACAGGTTTACCCCAGAGATTTTTAAGGATGGCGGTCCAGTATTAGCAGCGAGATTGACTGAGGTCTTAGGTAGAATCTGGGAATCGGACGTATTTATTATTTTATTTATTTGAACACATAAATACTGGTACAAAAGAGCACCAGATACATATGCGCCACACAAATCTTATTTGATTGGTGTGAGGGCTGTGATACTGCCCGGGTGCCCAAACCGAAGCAGGGAGGAACAATAACGGGGCGAATTTGCATGCATATAGCATACAATTCTCTTTGAACCTAGCACACAACAATAGCATCATGCACTGTCCCATCGCCCTTGGTAGATCAGGCAACTCGAACGTTACGAGAACACCATCAGGGCATACGACAGGCTAGGTACCCCGGACGTAATCCCATCTGACTGGTCTCAATCACTGATTGTGCCAGTCTATAAGAAAGGACAAAAGTCCTCTTGTGACAATCACAGAGGAATCAGTTTGACTAACATAGTGTCTAAAGTATTAGCTTCAATAATACTTCGACGTCTAACCAAACTCATGAAGGGCAGACTAGGAAAACCAGGCTGGTTTCGGACCTGGACGTGGTTGTATAGATCAGATATTCATACTATGTCAGGTCCTAGAACATAGACACACATTCAGACGCCCCACAATCGTAATATTCCTCGACCTTAAGGTGGAATTTGACTCTTTGTTGTGAGGTTCTATGGCAGTGTTTGTCACTGAAAGGAGTATCAAAGAAGTACACTAACCTTATAAAGGCTCTTTACTCGAACACAACAGGTCGAATGAGAGCTGTGCATTAAACGAACATATATTCAAACAATCAAGTCTAGAATGGCATAATATTTAATTATTTTAAGCTTTTTATTTAAAAAATCACTTTGTATCATTTATTTAAGTCCAAGAAAAACTAAATCCATTCTACAGGGAATCAATAGCTCCGACCCTATCGAAACAGATAGACATACTAACTGCAACAACCGCTTTATCTTTTTAGACACTGTTTACCGGCAGTGATTCAATTTATATCGATTCAACATTAGATCAATCTATACAATTTGATTATAAATAACGTGCTCTCAACAATTAGTACTTACCAGAAATTATATGAAGAACCGCAGTTACAACATCATTAGTACCATGAACAGAATATGAGGCAGAATCTGTTGAACCTATAAAATGAAGGAAAATAACAAGTGAACAAGTATAAAGAATTACAATTATTGATTGTAATTGGTGTTAGATGGTTGAAGGGAGTTAGTAAAAAACTGAATTCAGGCGTCATGCTAATTGGGATTCTTTGGTTAAACTTTATTGCGTAATGTTTAAGCCTGTCATAGTGAAGTCTGTAGTCGTGCATGAACACCAAAACACCAGCTCTGAATACTGGATGAGTTGTTTGTTTGATTGGGAGGTTTGGTGGCGAGATTGTTTGGTGGTTAGGTATTAGTTTTCGACTCATAAAAGTTTCTGGTGACAAAAAGGTTGAATAACAAAGAGGCAGAGGAAGGTACTATACAGAGTGGAGGTGGACAAAGATGATTGTGCTCAACATACTAACCAACCAAGAAATACCGTCGAGCGAGGTAACACAACATTAATATCTCTGGATATAATGTTAAACATTTTCAGCTTACCAAATAACGTGATGGAAAAAACACTTCGAATGCATTAATTGGATTTACGAATGCGAGTAATGTTTGGTCGACCCCGACAGAAAACAACACAGTTGCATATGAACCCCAAACAATATGCTCTCAACTACATAGTGAGAGTGGGGTGAGGATGTCAGAAAAGCAGAAAGCCACTCACTCGTTATTTTGTTATTTTTATTTCACAAATTTCCGTTTCTGTTTTTTTCTATCCAGTACTTCCTACAGAAACCCTCCTTCGTCTCAGCCTCGTCTTTTAGTACGCTAAACTCGGACCCTTATTTTTAACGTCTTTCGGGAATATGATCATATCCATGTTCCGTTCGTTTTAATACATATTCATTTACCTCCACTAACATATTTTCCCTGCAACATTGCCTTCTGAACTCGTTGGGAACAAGAAGAGTAAAAGGAATCGGAATATTTAAATATTCGAGTCGAAGTTAGACATTATCAATGTGTAGTTAGATAGTTATCGTAGTCCAACAAGGTTATAAAGTTGGTTACATAACAACTAATTAGTATTAGGAGTTGTTCTAAAAGTTAGTGATTAATTAAAAAAATTGGAAAGATGTACAAGAGAATAAGTGAATAAACTAAAACACTGCAATAGTTTCGGAAATCAGAATGTAGACTTATGATAAAACACATTTATGAATTATCAGAGAAATTCAAAAGTCATAGCCCATGACGAAGACTATCTTCAGAAATGAATTTATTCTTTACAAACGTCAATCAAACTACAAATGCCTTTGGTTTGTTTTTTCGTAACTAACCTGCCGGAATAACTCCAAGTCGAATTGTTGGTTTTAATTCAATTTCTCCCGGTTTATGCCCCAAAAATAACGGTAGACTAAACTTGCGTCTTTCGCGTAACAATAAACCTTGAACAGCTTCTGCTAAAAATCCATCGCCACCGACACAAATTACTCTGAAGAGTTACATGGAAAGAAAGCAAGATATAATGCACGAACAACAATCAAAAATTAGATCTAAAGAACCAGACAACTAATTAACAATTTGAAAATAAACTTTATACTTATAGGTAAATAAAAGGGAAGCACATATCTTAATCCATTAAATGAGTTACGTACAGTCAAGTTACAAACTCTGACTTGTATGTTATAGATTACGATTAGTAATTATAAATACTAAATTCTACTTCATCGTCTAACATAACTAATTATAACAATTTTTAAACATCACTTTAAAATAATTGTCTTGTTCAGTTAGTTAGTTAGTTCTAACTTCAGAAATCTACTCAATTAGGAATCAGAAATCGGATCTGATTGGCAACCTATCAGTTAGGTCATCTTAATTGTTGCAGTGCATTATCAGATCCATTGAGTCATAGCAAAATAATAACATTATTTTATTTATTTATTTAAATGAACACATAAATATTGGTACAGGGGGCACCAAATATATATGCGCCACACAAAACAATGATAATTTGAAGAGAAGGAGAAAAAAAAAGTAATGAACGTGGGGAATTATAAAAAAAAGAGGGAGAGAACAATGATGGGGAAAACGGAAAGGTACAATCAGAAGAAATCTTTCAGTTAATGAAGATACAACCACTGTTTATGAAGAAAGTAAAAGAAGGTTACAGCAGGATTGCCATTGGCTTCTATTCTGAGCCATATCTGATAACGTCTCTAGACACTGTGTTACACCGTCTCTCGGACCCCAACCAGGGAGTCGTGAAGGACCAACAGAAGCTAGCCCTTTGCAGCTTTCTTTCATACCACGACACCATGTCATACACTGACCACCTCTCCGCTTTTTCCAACCAGTCCCAGAGTCGGCAAATAATGCACGACGAGGAATTCTCTGGGACGACATTCGTAGAACATGTCCAAGCCAGCGAAGTCGGTGTTTCAAGATGGTGACACCAATTGAATTATCGTCTCTGTGACCGAACACACGATGCCGGACCTCTGCATTACTGACATGGTGTTGCCACTGGATGCCAGCAATCCTTCGGAGACAACGATGATCGAACACAGAGAGTCGTCTAACATCCTCAACTCGGAGAGGCCAGGTTTCACAAGCATAGAGCAAAACTGCTCTCACCGACGCGTTGTAGATCCGACCTTTTACAGCCAGACTAACATCACGAAGGTGCCAAAGATGTCCCAGATTGGCATAAGCCGCTCTGGCTTTCACTATACGTGCATTGATCTCATCACTCACGTCACCACCAGCACTTATGCTGCTACCCAGATACACGAACTTCTCGACCACTTCTATCTGCTCACCGTCCAGAGTGAGTACAGGATTAGAATCCTGTCAGTACTTTGCACTTCGAAGGTGCAAAGCGCATACCATACCTACGGACACTGATTGCCAACTGATTAAGTGCGGATTGCATGGCTTGGGCATTATCGCACAGTAAGACAATATCATCCGCATATTCAAGGTCGAGAAGTCTTTCTCCAGGCAACAGATCCACACCACCATTACTTACATCCATCAGAGCTGTTTCCAGAATGTCATCGATGGCAAAGTTGAAGAGGAATGGTGAGATTGGGCAACCCTGTCTAACCCCACTGCTTAAATGGAACAATGGAGAAAGGTGGTTGTATGCCGTCACTCTGCCTGAGGTGTTTGTGTATAAGGCTTCCAGGATGTTAATAAACTTCTCAGGCACACCCTTCTTCAATAGACAATCCCAGAGAACAGTTCTGTCCAACGAATCGAAGGCAGCCCTGATATCAAGAAACACTACGATTGTTGGCCTTTGATAATTATGGCGGTGTTCTAACATTTGGCGGAGAGTGAAGATATGATCAATACATCCTCGACCAGAACGAAACCCAGCCTGCTCCTCGCCAGTCAATCCTTCTCGGATTCTGAACAACCTACGAAGTATGACGGAAGCCAATAGCTTGGACGCAATCGGAAGTAGACTTATCCCCCGATAGGTGTTACAGGAACGACGTGAACCCTTTTTAAAGATAGGGACAACTATCGACTCATTCCATGACGTTGGTACACACTCTAGTTCCCAGACCTTTGTAAACAACGTCGTCAGTCCCTTAGTCAGAAAGTCACCACCATCTTTAAAAAGAGCCGGAGGTAAGTCGTCTGGGCCCGGTGATTTGTAACGTTTCAAGAGTTGGAGTTCCTTGCGGACTTCCGCCTCATTTGGTGGATCAGTCGTCACCGGCCATGGAGGGCAGGACAGTCTGACCGATGTTGCCGGAGCAGCAGGCCAGTTGAACTGCCCTTCAAAGAATTCTGCCCGTCGTCCAAGACGTCGATGGATATTAGTGATTGGCGTTCCGTCATCCTCGCATATTGCTTCGCTCACACCAGACTTCTTGCTGCCAGTGGCTCGAATGAGTTGGAAGAGCTTCCGGTAATTACCAGATGCAGCTGCTGCTTCCAGTTCATTAGCACGCTCCGACCACCAGGCTTCTCGGTCCTTACGCAAGCTTTGCCCGATTTCATTACGTAACATCCTTCGTCTGTGGTCAAACTCACGGCCACCCGAAGTAGACCGGCGGGCTTCAATCAGTTGTAAGGAACCAGAAGAAACCGAGTGCTTGTAAGCGGGACGTTTCGCGAACCCACAACAGACTGTACCCGCCATTTTCATGGCGTCATGCAATTGCAACGAATGCTCATCTATACATTAACGTTAACGAGTAGTTACATTGAATTGGTAGACTATATACAACAAACATGACAACGCATTTAGGAAAATGAAATTCTGGACAGAATGTTGTGATAGAATCATAGTACCTCATCGATAGTATTACTTATAGATGTTTAGAAAGGACAATTAGCACTTGATAGACAGTACACGACCTCAAAACTTAAGGACAGAGTTATTTGCAAACCATACATAAATAAATAAATAATAAATAAATACATCGATGAACCACTAAGAAAATTACTGTTACATGACGCTACAATATGAGATCCACTATGCTGTTGTTTGTGTTAGATAATTTACACTTAGGTGACATAATATACTAAATATTATTTAGGAGTATCACTGACCTAAGCCAATCGTATTCGCGATAGCGACCAACCCGACCGTAGCTGCTACCTTGACGTGGTGGTCGGGCTTGCCTATCGTGATGACCCAACCGAGCTATATTGGTTGGAACACATGTTCCTGCAGGTTCTACCATGCCAGGCAGGTCGATTGGAGAACGGTAAGACTAAAAGCAGCAACTCAAGGTCTGAGGGCGAAGTCGTACTGCTGACTGTACAGAGGTGTGACAGCAGTAAGGTGTTTCCCTCGGACAACCAGCATCTGCAGCAATGCTGCATTCTCACAAGGAAGGAGGGGGTTAGAAAAGGTCGACCCTAAAAATGTCACACCTCACCTTACCCCACGGATTTCTGTCTCCGGTGGTAAGGCCCTTTGAAGAACGGAGCTAACACATTAAAAACCCCACAAAAAGGCCGTGCGCGACCGGCCTCAAGCAGTTGTCCCTTGGGCTCTGCGGTCACGCACCCAGGTCGTTAAGACCAACACTAATCCGATTTCCTTTTCAGGTTCCTCAAGAAATACTCTTCCACGGTGTGGGCAACAGGGAAGTGATATCAGCCCTCATACCCGTAACAGCACACGAGACCAAGTTGGTCACATTCAAATCCTTCCTACACCTCCTAATAACTCTCTTATCTCCACGACTAACCCTTCTTACGTCCGTTTATCACCTCGCCCCGCTAGTGCGAACGATTCGAGTACGCGGAATGTTATTCCTGGTCTCCTGAAACCACGCTCTAAACTACACGTAGGAGATTTCAACGTCCGAACACTGTGCCAAATAGGACAACAGGCTTCCTTAGCTAGGACTTTAGAATCTCGCTCCATCGATGTGTGCTGTCTCCGAAACGCGCATACAGGATCCGAGTAGTATCATTCATTTGACCTCACCATGTCAAAGTAACAAACCAACTCGATTTACGCTCCGTGTATCTGGAAGCCCTGATACTGCTTCCCGTGGTTTCGCTGGCGTAGGTATAGCATTGAGTCCTAGTGCGGAACTAGCTCTCTTAGACTGGATCCCAGTAGACAGTCGTTTGTGCGCTGTCCGACTAAACGGAACAGTAAGGACTCGGAAAGATAGGGATACTCGTCGTTGCCTCTTCGTCGTCTCTGCCTACTGTCCAACTGACTGCAGCTCAGATAATGTAAAAGATGAGTTTTACAGAAAGCTTTCCGACCTTCTCCGAAAAGCTAGGCGTTCAGATGTAGTAATAGTGGCTGGTGACTTTAATGCTCAAGTAGGTAAACTAAGCGAAAAGGAAAGACACCTGGGTGGATGTTATGGTGTCTCAGCTCAAAGAACAGCTAACGGTGACCGTCTGTTGCAGCTATGCTCAGATAACCGCCTGTTTCTTGCAAACACTAACTTTAAGTATAAGGAAAAACATTATTTAACATGGCGACCCCCGAATTCGTCTCAACGCTGGACCCAAATAGATCACATCGCTATCAGCCACCGATGGAGGGGCTCGATAGGAGACTCGCTCATTCTGGAGCACATGCTTAGACTCAGATCATGCTCTAGTGCGAGCGCGTATTTGTCTACGTCTTACTGGACGTAGGAAAGACGCTACAAGGAAACCTCTTAGGGACCTACTTAATGATAGCCGAGCTAAGAATATATTTCAGGGAGAGCTAGAAAAACAGTTAGACAGCCATGTAAGTGATGCCCGTCCCGAGGCAGCTTGGAATGACATCCGGAAATCCGTGGAAACAGCAGTGATATCTACTAGTAAGGTAAACCATAAGGTTAGGGAGAAACACTGGATCTCAGCAGCATCTACCGCACTGATAGATGCTCGAAAACTCATCCCATCTGGCTCTGAACATAACGAAGAGCGGAGTCAGCTTAAGCGTAAGCTGACCAGAAGCCTACGCAATGATCGTGAACAGTGGTGGGTAGTGAAAGCAAGAGAGATGAAAAAGGCAGAGGCAATAGGTAACAACAGGCAACTGTTCAGACTTGTTAAGGAAACCGGTATTAGGAACTCAACTCTTAGCGAAACAATCTCAGAGAAAGATGGACATAATGTACATTCTCAATCCAGGAGATTGGATCGATGGGCAGAACACTTTAGGGATCAGTTCAACTGGCTTTCAGCCACACTTCGGTTTCCCACGATCTCCAGTCGACCTGAATGGCAAGTTGATGTAAGTCCTCCGACTCTTTACAAAGTTGAAAAAGCTATAGGAAATCTGAAGCGTGGGAGAGCAGCAGACCCTGACAGGTTTACCCCAGAGATTTTTAAGGATGGCGGTCCAGTATTAGCAGCGAGATTGACTGAGGTCTTAGGTAGAATCTGGGAACTGGACGTAATCCCATCTGACTGGTCTCAATCACTGATTGTGCCAGTCTATAAGAAAGGACAAAAGTCCTCTTGTGACAATCACAGAGGAATTCGTTTGACTAATATAGTGTCTAAAATATTAGCTTCAATAATACTTCGACGTCTAACCAAAGCTCGTGAAGAGCAGACTAGAGAAAACCAGGCTGATTTTCGACCTGGACATGGTTGTATAGATCAGATATTCACACTACGTCAGATCCTAGAACATAGACACACATTCAGACGCCCCACAATGGTAGTATTTCTCGACCTTAAGGTGGAATTTGACTCTGTTGTGAGGTTCTATGGCAGTGTTTGTCACTGAAAGGAGTACCAAAGAAGTACATCAACCTTATAAAGGCTCTCTACTCGAACACAACTGGTCGAGTGAGAGCTTATGGTGAACTGTCATCAGAATTGATTACCTCAATTGGTGTTCGTCAGGGCTGTCCACTCTCTCCATTCTTGTTTAACCTTGTCGTTGACGTCCTTTTAGAAATGACACTTTCCTCATCTAAATTTCCAGGAGTTGAACTTCTACCGGGAGATCCACTTGTTGACTTAGAATATGCCGATGACATAGTTCTATTTAGTGAAGACGCTGACATAATGCAGAGTCTGCTGACCACTCTAAGCAACAATGCAAGCATGTTCGGCATGCGATTTTCTCCCTCGAAATGCAAAATGTTGCTTCAGGATTGGGTTGCGTCGACACCCGAACTAGTGATAGGGAGTGAAGTAGTTGAGCGTGTCGACCGCTTCACTTATCTCGGAAGTCTCATCAGCCCTTGTGGTTTGGCGTGTGACGAAATCTCAGCACGGATACAAAAGGCTCGACTAGCTTTTGCCAACTTGCGTCATTTGTGGCGTAGGCGAGATATCCGTCTATCAACCAAAGGACGTGTTTACTGCGCAGCAGTTCGTTCCGTCCTACTTTATGGCAGTGAAACATGGCCAGTAAGAGTAGAGGATATTCGTAGGTTACTAGTATTTGACCATAGGTGTCTTCGAAACATCGCTCGTATATCCTGGGACCACCGAGTAAGTAATGCAGTTGTTATGAAACGGGTACTAGGTAAGGATGGCAAATCAATTGAGGAAGTAGTGAAACTTAATCAGTTGAGATGGCTGGGACATGTGTTGCGCATGCCCGACCACCGACTGCCCCGACAGGCTATGTTATATGGTGTAGGAGTAGGTTGGAAGAAAGCTAGGGGCGGCCAGACTAAAACATGGCACAAATCCATGAAGTCACTGACAAGTGGACTGAGTCATGTTGGTAGGTGTAGACTACCTTGTTGGGGACCGCGAGATTATAGCAACCGATGGTTAGAGACCTTGAATGACATGGCTCAAAATCGTTTGCAATGGCGCAGGTGCATCCACTCTTTGTGTTCTCTCAAACTCTAATCTTCTGAATTCTTCATGTCCTTTATTTTCTTTCCCAATTTATTCCACTGGACTATACTCCTTTAATAACATCATCAAACCTTAATGTCCCCTATCTCTACTTATACTTTCAGTACCTCTACCACTATGGGATTTGAATCGATAACTCCATCTCTGTGCTAATGTGCTATGGCAACTCGAACTGATGTACGTACGTACGAAGTTCCACGTTGTTACTGACTGACTGACTAGCGACCAATTAAAGAAACATACGTAGTGAATTAAGTAGGTGATACGATGTTTTAAGAGCATTCTTTGAATGATTAAGAATTTACGAACTAACTATCATTTCACAAGACATATTAGATGTTAGAAGGCAAGAAGTGTGATAATTCTTAACCTTGTTATTGATAATTTTACGTTCAAAGTCCCCAATCTTTAGCTATAGACGGATATCTAGTGCGAATATAGGAAGATTTTCAAGTTAGTATGGATAACGGAAAATAGGACTAATTCACCCATTTTTACGATATTCCGATAGTTATTGAACCTACTGTATTGATATTAAAACGATTTTCTTGATAACTCCATTAAAAGTACGTATGTTTGGCCAATGAATTTCACATCCTGAGACAAAACGTGTTTGCATAGTGATTAGGTGGTTAACTTCAACAAACAAATTACTTTAGGAAATAAACAAATTGCTACTGAATTGGACAAAATTAAACCTAATCATTATATATATCACTCTGGTTGATAAAGTTTTTAATAAGTGGAACTAGAGGAGAAACTTACCCATCATAAGAATCCAATGAGTTTTCAATGAGATAATCTGTCGCATGATTCCGAGATGTCGTAGCTGTATGATCGAAATAAGCCACAACAATAATAAACGTTTGATATAAGTTAAATGCAAACCTGTTATCGAGAAAATATATTTATTTGTCTAATTTCTATTCTTTCTTTCCATAGAGATCCACTAAATAAGAAAATATTCCATTTTAGAAAATTACGAAGCGAAAAGAAAATAACTTTGTTAAATATATGTAGTCTGCAATGACCTATGGACTGCTTTGAATAATCTAGAAATTCTGTCAGATAAAAATAAGTAGGGAACACGTGGTCTTCAATTTGTCCTGATATAAGATGATAAACGTGAGAACCTCTCAAAAAAAGTGGAGCCCTCTTTAAAAACTTGAGATGTTGTTCTACAAGAGTATATAAAGTGAAGCTAATGCGGTAGCGATAGATCTGACAATAATATTCCATTTAACATAAAGGTCTTATGTTAATAATATTTGTAAATTACTAATATTCGGCCAAACATAAAGCTGTCACGAAAATTTATGATTGAGTACGTAAATGCGTCAACGCCTGAACTAATGACAGGGAGTGAAGTGGTTAAATGTATCGACCACCTCACTTATTTTAAAAGTCTGGTCAGACTTGGTAGGTTGGTATCTGACGAAATCTTATCACGAATTCAGAAGGCCCGGTTGGTTTTTGCCTGTTTGTGTCACTTGTGGAGTAGGTGTGATATCTGTTCGCCAACTAAAGAACGAGTTCAGTGAGCAGCAGTTTGCTTATTTTGTTCTACGAGTGTAAAACATGACATTTAAAAAGAGAACATTCGTAGATTACTAGTATTTGATCATGTCTCTTCGAGCCATTGTTCGTGTATTATGGAACCGTCAAGTTAGATATTTTAAGGTTAAACAGAGAGTACTATGTACAGAAAATCAATTGACAAGGTTGTGAATCTTTAACGATTGAGATGGTTAGGATATATACTATGCGTGTGCACTTATCGACTACCTCGATGCAGGATGATAGCTGATGTGGTAAACTGGAAAGGAACTAAGGACAGCCGAACTAAAAAATGAGATCATCCCATGAAGACCGACTGTTGACCGGTCCGTGTCGGTAGATGCAGACTACCTGGTTGGAGTTTGCGTGATTATCGTGACCAGTGGCTGGAGCCTTTGAATGGTATGGCTCAGAATCACTGACAAAGGCGGAGTTGTATTCACTTTTTATCTTCCTCTAGATTCTAAGTTTCTGAATTCTTCACAAGTTTTCTTAAAATCTCACTAATTTATATTTTTTTCGAATTATCTTGAATGCTTGATCTGTTCTATTACCATCAATACTGTTATTACCTCTACTAGTCTGGAATTCGCCATGACAATTTCATCTTGTTGAACCGATGTACATGTGTACCAGATTCTATGTTACGTTTGACTGATTGACAGAAAAGTGTACAGACAAATTGTAGTTTTCAACCCACTGTATATGGGAACAACAAGATTCAATAACCATAACCCTATGGTCCTTAGTATGCTGTGTTACAAGAAAACCCAAGGTTCAAGTGTGATCGCCTGCTTTGCAGCAATAACCAAATATTAACCATGTACGTTTTACCCATTGAGTCCCCAAGAATTCGAAGGTCAGTTTCCATTCGTTAGCAGTTTTAGGTACAATATCAATACTAAGTGTATTGGGCGACTATATATCATTCTGTGGTCACCTGAATAATATTCGACTAAACCTATTCGCATTCCCCAATAAAAAGTCCACTATTAGGAACCTGAAAAATGCAAAGAATAACCCCTACCACGTACCACCCATAAAACATGTTAATGACGTGCGAGTATAGATGATATGTCAGTATTTCGGTATATGGAATTATTATTCATACGTTGCCCCCAAATGACGGATGACGGGATGCCAATCACCAACATCCATTGCTGATTTGTAGTGCTTCAAGAGTTGGAGTTCCTTGCGGACTTCCGCCTCATTTGGTGGACCAGTCGTCACCGGCCATGGAGGGCAGGACAGTCTGATCGATGTTGAACTGACCATCTTCCAAGATGTCGATGGATGTTAGTGACTGGCATCCAGTCATCCTCACAGATTATTTTGCTCACACAGGACTTCCTGCTGCCAGTGGCTCGGATGAGTTGGAAGATCTTCCGGTAGTTCCCAGATGCATCTGCTGCTCCCAGCTCATTAGCATGCTCCAACCACCAGGCTTCTCGGTCCTTACGCAAGCTTTGCCCGACTTAACTACGGTTACGGTCACCCGGAGTAGACCGACGGACTTCGATGAGTTGTAAGGAGCCTGAAGAAACCCAGTGCTTATAAGCTGGACGTTTCGTGAAGCCCCAAGCGGTTTTACTCGCCATTTTCATGGTGTCATGAAGCTGCAACCAATGCTCATCTATACTTTCCGGTGGAATGGTAGCTAGCCTAGAAGCTAACTCGTTTCCATACTTACAAAAGACTTACTATTTTATTTATTTGAACACATAAATATTGGTACAAGAGGGCACCAAACAGATATGCGTCACCCAAAATTTTATTTGTGTGTGAGCTGTGATATTGCCCGGGTGCCCAGACCGAAGCAGGTGGTTTTCTTAGGGGGCCACACCCCAAGCCTTTGACCTAAAGGGCTGACCCATAAGGCAGTGGAACACCGTGAGGAGATAAAGTCCCATGGTAGACGGTGACCAACGATTGATTCATACACCATTTGTTCCATCAGGATACTGGAGCCCACGTGCAACATTGGTTTGGGATCCGGTTAAAGCGCTTTTCATCCCCTCATTTTCGTAAACAACACTCCTGTCACGAGAAGGCAGTGAGTAAGACAGCATTTCGAGAGGGAGGGTGGCCCCCCCACTTTCGGCCATACCAGGGCACTTGTGGGCCCTCAGGTAGAGTGAGGACATACAACCACCTTTCTCCATTGTTCCATTCAAGCAGTGGGGTTAGACAGGGTTGCCCAATCTCACCATTCCTCTTCAACTTTGCCATCGATGACATTCTGGAAACAGCTCTGATGGATGTAAGTAATGGTGGTGTGGATCTGTTGCCTGGAGAAAGACTTCTCGACCTTGAATATGCGGATGATATTGTCTTACTGTGCGATAATGCCCAAGCCATGCAATCCGCACTTAATCAGTTGGCAATCAGTGTCCGTAGGTATGGTATGCGCTTTGCACCTTCGAAGTGCAAAGTACTGACAGGATTCTAATCCTGTACTCACTCTGGACGGTGAGCAGATAGAAGTGGTCGAGAAGTTCGTGTATCTGGGTAGCAGCATAAGTGCTGGTGGTGACGTGAGTGATGAGATCAATGCACGTATAGTGAAAGCCAGAGCGGCTTATGCCAATCTGGGACATCTTTGGCACCTTCGTGATGTTAGTCTGGCTGTAAAAGGTCGGATCTACAACGCGTCGGTGAGAGCAGTTTTGCTCTATGCTTGTGAAACCTGGCCTCTCCGAGTTGAGGATGTTAGACGACTCTCTGTGTTCGATCATCGTTGTCTCCGAAGGATTGCTGGCATCCAGTGGCAACACCATGTCAGTAATGCAGAGGTCCGGCATCGTGTGTTCGGTCACAGAGACGATAATTCAATTGGTGTCACCATCTTGAAACACCGACTTCGCTGGCTTGGACATGTTCTACGAATGTCGTCCCAGAGAATTCCTCGTCGTGCATTATTTGCCGACTCTGGGACTGGTTGGAAAAAGCGGAGAGGTGGTCAGTGTATGACATGGTGTCGTGGTATGAAAGAAAGCTGCAAAGGGCTAGCTTCTGTTGGTCCTTCACGACTCCCTGGTTGGGGTCCGAGAGACGGTGTAACACAGTGTCTAGAGACGTTATCAGATATGGCTCAGAATAGAAGCCAATGGCAATCCTGCTGTAACCTTCTTTTACTTTCTTCATAAACAGTGGTTGTATCTTCATTAACTGAAAGATTTCTTCTGATTGTACCTTTCCGTTTCCCCCATTATTATTATTATTACTACACTACTTTACACTAAACTGTGATCCTTATTGTTTTTTTCTTATACGCACCTTACGTTCCTTTTTCTCTTCCCATTCTCATTGTTTGGTGTGGCGCATATATATTTAATGCTCCCTTGTACCAATATTAATGTGTTTAAATAAATAAATAAATAATCATACGTCGAGATTTGACATTTATAAAAATGAAAGATACCTTAAAAATCATTAGAATGAATGGCTTAGCAGCTGATCCGCTTGGGTTTCAAACAAAATTTTGCAAAGTTAAATGGTGTCTCATCTACTTGAGTCTGAGCATCCAGATAGTATCACTAGTTATTGCACAAAAAGTGTAAGATTGAAGCTGGATAAATAAGACTGTATTCGGTAGATGAGTTAATTGAAACGGTGGTGGAAAATATAAGAAACCCAACCAAAATGGGACCTAACAAACAAATAAATTGCTAAGAAACGATGTCCTTCCTAGGTATACAACAAATAAAATAGGTGACAATTATACGAAGCAAATTTCTAAAAAATCAACGTAAATACAACTAATATAAACTCACCAATAACTTTTGTTTGAATGTTGGCTAGATAAAATAATGGTGCTACTTGGTGAGTATAAATTTGCTGTGCTTTCTTTGCTCCGCTTAAAGGATTGATGAAAACCAACAAATTACGTGGACGTGAAGGATCTGCATTAAAAGAATTTTTATTTATTAGCGCATACAGAATATGAATTTTCGAAAAAAAACTAGATGGAAATTTTATCATGTGAATTATTTGATAGTTGACCATTATGTGAACCACCATTTGATTGATTGCGAATCAACTAGGATGAGAAGTAAGATCATACATCTTTTCGTCAAACATTGCATTCCAGATTTATAGGATGATAATTAGTCGCTAAAATAAAATATTGACTCCCCAACGAACGACGATTGACTTGGACCATTGAATTCAGTGAATAGAAAATTGAATGCATATATAAAGGGCACACCGTAAGCTAACAGTATATGATTAAGACCGTTGTCATATACTAAACTAAAAACTGAGGAAAAGCAAACCAAACGAGCATGAGTATTTGACCACTTATACTCTAACAAACGAACTTAATTGGACAAGTTATTATCCATAAATATATTGCTACTTAAAATAGAGAACTCTAAGGGAAATCGCTTCAGCCGATTCGACTTATATGATAGGAGCGCCTAGTTACCACGCTTCTTCATTCATCATATTAAGGTTAAAAACTGTTAAATGAGTGCATGTGCTCTAGTATTTACCAGAAATATATATTGCATTTTAATCAACGACTTAGTAAGCCTAAAGATGGCTATTATCAAATTGGCGACACATATCATCCCGACAAAACATCCTGCTAAGACAACAGCACAGCCAGTGAAAAGTATAAACACTTATTCAATATCCATCCAATATATCACGAAAATGGAGGGTCTAGATGCTTTACATTCATAGTAACCTCTGCCCCCAAATGCCCTGGTACGGCCGAGAGTGGGGAGAGTCCGCTCTACCCCTCTCGAAATGCTCTCACATGGCCATGCGTATATAGCCTCTGCCAGGGAAGTCCTACTCACTGCCTTCTCGTGGCGGGGGTGTTTACGAAAATGAGAGGACGAAAAGCGAATGTCCGGCGCTTTAACCGGATCCCAAACCAATGGTGCACATGGGCTCCAGTATGCTGAAGGAATAAATGGCGTATGAACCAATCGTTGGTCACCGGCTACCATGGGACGGCATCTCCTTACGATGCTCCACTGCCTTGTGGGTCAGACGTTCAGGTCGAAGACTCGGGGTGTGGCCCCCTAAGAAAACTACCTGCTTCGGTTTGGGCACCCGGGCAGTATCACAGCCCTCACACAATTCAATTGAGATTCGTGTGGCGCATATGTATTTGGTGCCTCCCTGTACCTATACTTATGTGTTAAAATAAAATAAATAAAAACCTCTGTAAGACTTGAAATTTTCTGATACACTTCGCTTAAATTAGTAGAGTGGAAGGTAAAACGAGCGTCACCTCATTTTCAAAAAAGTTCGCAAACTTTACAAAAGAATTACGAAGAATAATGGCTAAAACGTAGCTCATAAATTTCGGAACTCGTTTATCTTGGTTAAGTAACTAGAACATATCCACCTTCAAAAAGTGAAAATAATCTAAAATCTTAGGTTCACTATTTAAACAAAGCACTCCATGTACATTTTCTACAATCACATCCCAACAAACTTACTAAAGTTATGCTTAATCGATGACAAAATACTACTGGGGTTAATACTAAATTTTTTCGGAAAGCCAAGTAATTTTTTGAACATGACAAGTAATTGTCTTTTAGTTGCAGCCAAACAAGTGATTACGTAACAACTGCAGGTCTGAAAGTGATCCTAACTTCTTTACAGACACACGCAAATCGAATGTGAATATTAAGCTTTTTATGTTCAAAAGTAAACTTTGTTGTGGAAAAACAGATTTTCAGTTTGAGACGATTCAATCTCAACTCACTTGTCTTCAATACACTGCTATTTAAAAAATCCACCCAGTCAGATACCTGTTGGTTGCGGGCACAGTAAAATGTGGAGCAACGAACTCCCCAACTATACTTCTTTGTTTGAGTGATGCTCCAAATAGTGAATCCACAGGAATTACTAGCCTCTTTCTTCTGGAGCGGCCCAGACAAATCAGCGAGCCACCTCACGCCATTAATATCTGACAGAGAAGTGGTTCCGATAATATTCTTAAAACTTACTAGAAACAAGTAATAATTTAATATGGCATACTCTGTTTTATTACTGTACCGGCTCCTAATTCACTTGAAGTCCTCCATAGTATTTCATTCTTCGTTACTCCCACAATGCATGGGAAGAGACTGCTATCTCTAAGACGATGAAGTGATCCAATATTTACACTCATTTCAGATGAAATAAATCCTGAATAATGAGGCCTCGTAATACCTATATGGAATTTGGTTTATCGTTGACATTGAGTGAATCCAGATTTGTTGAAAAATTCAAACTGCCTGTTTGACTTGATGGTCATTAACGTTCATTGATGAATGACCAAGCACATAATCCAATTTACCAACTGTACGACCCACAACCTAGAACGAGCAGGTCCGTAACTGAAATTGCCGCCTTTTTGTTATCACAACCTTGAAAAGACCCAACTCAAGGAGTTCAAATTATTGAAATGATTGTGTACGGAATAGAAGAAGCTTTCGCTTAACAGGCTTCTGTTTCTAGTACCAGGGGATCACCAACACCTCCAGGCAGGAACCTAGGTATATTAACTATAATAGATTGAAAAAAGAAATTGGCAACTCATAATAAGATGTTATCCTTAGTCCTTAAGAATAGGTCAAGATTCCTCTTAAAGGACTCCTGGGAAGTCGTTTGAACTAGCTCAGCTGGCAGAAAATTACAGAATTTGACTACTCTTAAGGGGTAGAAGTTGTGTCTACAGTCCGTTCTGCTATATTGTATCTCCAATTTTTGGGTGTTACCCCCTAGGTTTGTATTAGGACTAAGCTTAAGTAGGCGTTTAAGAGGATGCCCAGGTGTGTTAAGGATACTGTAAGCCATTAGAAGGTCACCTCTAAGATGCCTATACTCTAATGGGTAAAGGCTTAGTCAACGGAGGCCCTCTTCATAAGGCTTGAATTTGAGTCCCCGAACTGATTTCGTGGCTCGCCGTTTGATACGCTCCAGAGTGTTCTTATCCTTTTGGAGTCAGGGAGGAAATACTATTTTTCCGTTCTTTAAATGTAAACGAATGAAACTGCTGAAGATTATGTGGTAAGTTCTTCCGTCAAACTGACCGAGAGTGCGCATCAATGTTACCAGTGCAAGGTTTGCTCGAAAGACATTTTTGTCACAGTTAGTGTGAGACTTCAAATCGTAGGGTACCAGCACTCCTTAATATTCTCCAACTTAAGATACTTCTGGAAAGGAGTTTCTTAAGTTGTAACCAGTCTGAAACATATATCAAGTGGACTACTTTAAACTTTGAAGTATTAAAGTTAAGTCCGTTGTTATCTGCCCAACTTTGATGTCCAGTCAGATCCTCCCAAAATGTCAATATATCCTCTCCGTTTCATACCTCTCTCCAAAGTTTCACATCATCAGCAAAATGTAATAAGTCAGATCATACTACATGTGGAAGACCATTTATATAAATCAAGAAAAGAAGAGGTCCCAACATTAAACTCTGGGGGACCCCACTAGGACATTCCATAGTCTGAGAGAAGGTGAAATTAACCCTGACCTTAAAATGTCGATTTTTTAGATATGAAGTGAGCCAGTCAATTAGAGGTGATTTAATACCCAATCGTTTAAGCTTATTGATAAGACACATATGGTTGACCCGATCAAAAGCTTTTGAGAAGTCAAGGTAAATGACGTCAACTTTTTCCTTGCGATCAAGGATAGTTGTCTATCTGGCCACAGCAGCCAGTAGGTCCGTTATACGAGAGTAACCCTTCCTGAAACTATGCTGTTGGGGTGAGAAGAAATTTAATGACCGTAAATAGTCATGTATACCATCGCATATCAGGGACTCCATAATTTTTGAAAGTACAAAGAGGACCATCGGTCGGTAGTTTGAAGACTCTCTGTGTCGGCCTCCTTTGAAAATTGGTGTGATGTAAGCCAGTTTCCAAATTTCCGGTAATGTGCCTCGGCTTAGCGAGTGTGTGGTGTTGCCAGGATTGAAGTTGCTTCCCTCAGTATAGCAGAGTGAACCATATCTGGACCAGGATGAGTGTTTTTTCTCAGGTGCAGCAGTTTCCGGAACACCATGTTAGCGCTCAAATTCACTTCGGAAAGTCCAGTGCAGTTGCAGATGAAGCTTTCATCAATATAGTTAGTGCGGGTCGGTTGAAGTGTGCGAGAGTATTGTTCGGCCAGAAGGTTAGAGGCGTCATTTCATATTTCAAGTGCCTGATGTCAGTGGCGCACTTGCAGGCTAGCTAAACCTGGTAGTTTGTGTGCCTTTAGAAGACCTATTTATACCATAAAACTCCTAATGACATAAAGCCATGTATATCGTATGTTTTGTCTACCAGCCAAAAACACCTCTGTGTTGCGCTTTTTAATTGTTTATAGGTAGCTCTTCTAAAGTTACTGTCAGTCTCACGCCTGGCTAAAGTAAAAGGGTTGGGCACGGGGTCGACGACCCCATCCCACAAGAAAAACTTTACTACAAATACATCAACCAGAGTAAACAATTAAAACTATCCAAACTCTGTTTTCCCAGTTGAAAGAAGAATTATGACGCCTCTTGACGAAAGACGACATTCTTCGAAAGTCACGACGCCGATGCTTCTTCTAACAACCAGAGCAACAATTAATTAATAACGTGGAAGATCGGGAGGACCAGTCAAATAGAAATGGAAATGGAGAGATACAGCTTCGTGATTCTTGAAATCACTGAAACAAGCTGGACAGCAAAAGCTAGATACGGGAGAGGTGCTGCCGTATTTCGGTCACGAAGAGAGTTGTTCTGACGCCGTCCAAAGAAGCACGAAATGCACTTATATGATGTGAATCACATGATTCTAGGATCATCAAAGCATCCTTCAAAACAAAGAAAAAGGGAATCAAAATGAATGTTATCCAGTGTTATGCACTTTAAAGATAAGCTCTATTCGACGTTGTAATCAATTATAGCGAAGTGTCCATGAAAAAACCTCACCATTCCGATTGGTGATCTAAACTCCAGGTACGAAGATATCATGGGATGACATGGACTAGGAGAAAGGGACGAGAGTGGCGAGAGATTTTCAAATTCATGTGCATTTAACAAAATGGTTATAGGTGGCACAATGTTCCTACGCAAAACACACACAAGGCTACATGGGTCTCACCGGATCACACCACGGAGAACCACATCGATCATATTTGCATCGCTAAAATATTCATAAAGTCAATAAAAGACGTGAGAACCAGGAGATTAACTGACGTAGCTTCAGATCATCACCTGGTGGTTGCCAAGATGAAACTGAAGCTAAAGAGGCATTGGACAACTGAACAGACATCATCACAAAGGTTCAATACAACCTTCCATTGAGATGCCGACAAACTCAATGAATTTAGAATAGCTATCAACAACAGGTTCCAAGCTTTACAAGGTCTATTCAAAGAAGAAAAACTACTATGGAGGACAACTTGGAAGAGATCAAAGAAGCACTAGCTTCAATTCGACAGGTGCTGAGTCATCAAGAGGGTACATGCATTTATAAATAGTTGCCTACACAAGAAACTCAATGCCCATTGGCAGGATACCATCAGCAACACCCTGCTGTAGGATTAAACAAACCAGCTTCCAGCTGAAGAGAAAATTAGGAAAAGACGATGAAGATAGACATGCATTACTGAAAATATCAAACTGCATCGTGAACTAAGCGCTAACTCAAAATCCTGAACTTACTTACTTGCACCTGTTACTTCCCGTGGAGGAGCATGGGCCGCCCACCAGAACTCTCCATCCAACGCTTTCCTGAGCAATCCTTTCCAGCTCTTTCCAGCTGTTATTTATTCTTTTCATATTTGCTTCTATTTCCCGACGATTTTGAACGAGAAGTTTAGTCCTAACGTGGTTTGCATTTCTCAAACTTTTGCTATGTTCTTACGCAACAAAAGTACCATTTCTGATCTAAACAATGTATTCTGAGCTATAAGTTCGGTAGATTACTTTTTTTGAGTTTCGCTCAATTTAATAGTTAACTGTGGTTTTGCCCCAGCTAACTATTCGGTTTTTTTTTCAGTTTTTCACGTAAAGGCTAGTTCATTTTATCTGATCCGTTTTTATACATTTTTCCCGTTTTAGTGTGGTCTTTGTGTATTTTTAACGGTCTTAAGCTTTGATACTATCTCTAACACAGTTTACGTCAATACGACCATGAAAAATTCATGCAAACGACCTGGGTGCCGGTTTGCTGTTACATCTGGCATGCAGTGCGACAACTGCAAAGGTTGGTTCCACGAAATGTGCACAGATCTTACAGCAACTGCTTACAAGAGACTCAGCAACTCGGACCGTAAGTGGGCGTGTGTTACGTGCAACACGGACGCTGTAGTACTGCTGAGCAACATCATTGTTCTACTGACAGGTCTGCGGAACAAATTGTCAGTAAACTTGGAAACAGATAGCCATAAAGTAGGTAGACAACCAAGGGGGCGCAACGAAAATAAAAATAGGGATGTCGATAAGTCTACCGTCGATGGAACACGCATTAGCACTAATGATGAAATGTTGAAACTCAGAACCATCATTACGTCGACGGTAATTGACTCCCTCACTAAACTTGGATCCCCCAGTTCAGGGTCCTTAAACGCAACAGTGGTTCCTAAAAACCCTGTAGGTGACTGTACCCGCGCCAACAGAGCTAATAAGGACCAGGTGTCACCGTCTAAGGTTGACATCCCAAGTGTTGTACGGAAATCAACTGGTGCTTTGATCGCTCAGTCTACCCCCAAAAACGTCCGCTCGGTTATCAAAAAGCCTACGACTCAAAAACCTGCTTTGACCTCCAAACAACAACGTACTAAACCTGAACGCACCGGAAAACCTGGGAAAACAACAACGGTCCGTGACGACTCTCTCATAATCATGGACCTCATAGACAATCCTGACCTTCCTCTCAGTTTGCAGGACAAAAACGACAGGATGATCTGGGGTGAACTGAACAAAAAGCTCGAACTTCCTAGAGTAAAGCCTTTGACTGTCACACGGCTCACTCGAGGAAAGGAATCTAAACATCAAAATCACCCGAGGCTACTTTGTGTAACACTCAGGAATGCTACCGAAGAAGAGGACGTCCTGCTAGCTAGTCATCTACTGAAATCCGATGGAAACGTCAGAATACTGCCCGACATACCGTACTCTGAGCGCAATCTCATCCGGAACGTGCCTAA